TCTATCCAGATGCGCATTTCATGGTTTCCAAATTACTACATATTTTAACAACAAATATTAAAACTTTTCTATTTTCCATAACATCACTGTAATGAGTATCCATTTCCAAAATAATACTATTTTTCTAGTAATGAAGTGCTTTGATGACATAAATGACCTAAAAGCATCATTTGGATTGGTAGTTATTTACCACTAAAAATTATGTTTTTAAGAATTTTTTTTCTCAGGCCACTCAACCAAACAGAGTTGTTGAACTTTACCACACTCCATCACTATGACGACAAGACTTATTAAGCAAATGGTGTAAAGATTGTAGATGTTTTGTGCAATCAACTATAAAGCATATTAAACCAATTTAGCACAGTTTATTTATTTTATTTATTTCATTAAAATGCAAAACAGAAGTCAGAAATAACAAATCTAGAATGGCCTTGTTTGATTTTATAATAAATTTTGCCAAATTGCTGCAGACAATAAGTTTTTTACTTTAAAGTGATTCAATAAATTGATATTCCAATGATTTGAAATTGATATTCTGTGAATTGCTATGTTAAATAAATCTTTTATACAATCCTGGTTATTATTGCATTTCACCTGAACACATGTCACAATATCTATCATTGACAAAATTTATTTTTGGTGACCAACTTCTCACTCAGAAAAAATTTAGAAAGATAAACTGGTAATTCAAGCTTCATAATAGCTTTTGCCTCAAACATTCTGTAAGGTTTTACTTCACTGTACACACACAATCACTTACACATGTACTCACTCACTATAATTCACACATTGGTAAGGTCTATCGCATTCATCGACTGTCACTCACTTACCTCACACTCACTCAACTCACAAGTTTTGATGTTTTTTTTTATTCAACAAAGTTTTCTCATTGTGATATAAAGATGTTTTGAGGTTAATATGGATTTGTGTTTTTTGAGATGGGTTTATTTACTGAATTATATGACTTGCTATTTGGTGATGATTACGACGTCTGTAAACAGTACTATTCAATATAATAATATGCAAATGCCTGCATTTATATGCAAATGTATGCACTTAGTTACATGCACTTCCACATTAATACAGCTTGGCATTTTTATAAAAGAAAGTATGGTAATGTGATACACTAATTATCAATTCCCTGATTTTTCCAAGTCCTTTTGTTTTAGTATGTTTTTGTTTATGTATTTATGAATTGTTATTTACTTATAGATTGGACTATGTTCTATTCAAAATGAATAATGTCAATAAAGTTAAAAAGTTATATTCGAAAATGTCAGCATTTATTGCAAATATGTCAACTGTCTGAATCATATGTATACATCAGTCAGTGGCAAATTCAATGAATATCGTCATATCTCATGTATGTTATAACATATTCAGGATATATCTGACTTTTGTCAAAAATTACAAAAATACATGGATTCAACTCATTGTTAACACATGCATCATACAGGTTTCCAAATGGATCACTTTCGTCTCTTGGTGGCGGCAGATTATAACTTGGATCACCTTGAACGAAATCACCAACTAACACACGTGACAGGAATATTTTCCTATACAAGTTATCACTCTCAGCAAATGAGTCTGCATATTTAGCTGTTGTGCCAAGGTAGATTCCTTTACCAAATTTGGAGCCAGTAATTTTGCCACTAAGTCGCCAGTTGAAATTATCTCTGCAGATAATGTTCAATAGTTTCTCTGATGTTCCATGGAAGAGATGTTGGGTTTGTACTTCACCACGAGTTTGCCATTTCTGCATTGCGTCATACTTCCTGAATGAGATAGACACAAACATAATGTC